TACTAAAATAGTTCTGAACAAACACAACGTCCAGAGAAGGTGTCCTATACTTCTTGAATCTTGCCAAATCCTTGATCTCCACAAAACATTCTATGTAATGTTAACTGAACAACATATTTCCTTTTTACAAATTCTTTCTCTTATTTCTTTCATGGTCAATATACTTTTATCTTTAGTACCATACAGCAAGAAAAGAGAGCATATGATCTTTCAACTCCTGTTTATCAATGTATTTCTTGCATTCGTGGTCCAAAATTAGATGCACTATCCTAGACATGGTCTAACAAGCTGCAAAGGGTTCTTACTTTCCCAGTGCAGCACTTCACATTTGTCCTTGTTCAGACTCCTGAGGCTCCTGTCTGTCCTTTCAGCAAGGTCAGGTCCCCTGGATGGTAGCCTTGTCCTTGAGCATATCAACTCATTCCCCCCACCACACCAACACTTCCAGATTTGGTGTCATCTTCAAACTTGACTAGAGTGAACTTCACCATGTCCTTCAGGTCATTGATAAAAATGTTAAACAGGACGGGTCATAATATAGACTCCTGCTGTATTCTGCTTGTTACCAGCATCCAGGTAGAGCACCACCTACTAACCACTACCACTGAGCTTGATCCTCAAACCAGTTTTATTTCACTCATCTAGTTGTCCATACATCCAGTCTGCAGTGCCCTAACTCAGACACAAGACCATCGTGGGAAACAGTCAAAAGCCCTGCTAAAGGCCAAGGTGAATAGTGTGCACTGCTCTCCCTTGCCCACAAATCTAGTCATTTTATCATACAAGGCAATCAGATCTGTCAGACATGATTTATGCCTGCTAAATCCATACTGTCCTTTACCAAATCATCATCTTCATGTTCCCAGGAAAGTGTTTCAAAACTTGTTCCATGGCTTTCCCAAGGACTCAAACAAAACTAGCCAGTCCGTAATTCCCTAGCTGTACCTTTGGGGTTGTTGTTTTGGGGTGCTCGTTTTTGGTTTGTTTGGGGTTGGGTTTTTGGTGGGTGGTTTTGGGTTTGGTTTGGGGGTGGGAGGGGGCAGGGCAGGGTTTGTTTGTTTTCTTTAAAGAGCATGCTCCCTGCAGGACGTGTTCTGTAACTTTTTTATCTCACATAGTTTAAGCCTGGAAGCCATAAAGGACAGCCTTAAATTTAATTTGCTATCATGTGGACTATTTGGCTCTCAATTTACGAGTTAGCATTTCTGTAACCAAGATACTATGAATGTGCTCAATTCAATTCATGCCCACTTTGAATTAAATGAAAACAGTAGTATTAGCTACCACCTTAACACAAAAACTTGTGCTTACACATTTTTTTTCAGTTGTTAAAAATGACCAATTATTTGGAGTCCTTTTGGTCTAAGAAAATACTTTATTTCTCACACAGTTTTTCAGTGCCTTTGGTAAGCTATGACAATGGATTCTTTATAAAAGGTACTTATAATGGACACTCACAACAAACTAAGGCACTGACTAGTTCCAGTTTTTGAAAGCCTGGATATCTGTCGGAAACTTCAGGCTTCTACTAAAAGCTTCCACCACATCTGCCAGAAGCATTTCAGCCTGGGAGAATTCATATAAAAATTCTCAAGGGTCTTCAACTTGCTTATTTTTAAAAACAAAATCAAAACAAAACAAAACAAAAAACCCAAACCAAAAAAATACAAACAAAAGAACCTCCCCAAAACCTCAAGTTTAAGACTATTTCAATTAAGCAGTTTTTACAGAATTTCTGCCCATATGCAATGATAGAAGCTAAACAAACTTATTTAAATTTTCTGAACTACAGCCCACTTTTTATTTTGCTTTCATTCACACTTTTTGGAATGCTCCATGCTCAGCACAACATCCACTTGCTACATATCTAGTGACTCACTTTTTCAGGCATCTCTTAAGAAGATTCATTAACTTGTAATTACTCAAAAAAAAAAAATCAATTCTAAGCGTAAGCTTCTAATGTTATTGCTGTATGAAAAATCCACAAGGAGATATTACATTGTTTCTACAAACACAAGCAAAACAAAGCATTGCACTGGTTGTCTATAAAAGTATTACTAAGCACAGAAAAAGTCTGAGTACAGGTATTGCCTGCACCACCTCCTTCCACCTTTATCTTATAGATTTTTAGGCTTACATATTATATTAAACATATTTTTAAAAGCAAATCCAACTTTAAATAGCTACTTTTAATTGCTATTTACTGGTGATCTTGAAGACTTATCCTACTTTTATCCTTAATAATGCTGGTGTTACATAGACATTATCTCCTTTGGGCACATAACCTTTTCCATGCATAATTAAAGTGCCTTTATACAAAGTAAACATTCACATCTTTCAATTGTAAGTAACATGTCATCTTCAACTTGGTCTGTTTATGTGACATACTTCAGCTGAAGCTTACCTCTGCCACAAAAAAAAAATAATTGCGTACTAGTTTCCTTGCCACTGCTTACTGATGCTCCCTCTCTTCAGTTTCTACCCTTCTTTACAGATTATGCCGACACAATAGTTTACAGTCTCTGTAGTAAACAGGATCACTCACATGATTCACTAAAACAAAAGAAACAAAATTCCAAACACTCAAGAAAACAAAAATTAGAGTATAACTGAAAGGCACCTCAGGAGGCAGCACAGAGGCTGGACTGACTGGGAATTCCAGAAACCGGTGTAGTCAAAGTCCACGACTTTTAGAACTGCAGCCCCAGATCATTCTTGAATCATTTTGAATTATTTGAAGGTTTCTCTCTGTTACTAAATTAACATTTCAAAGTCTTTTATAAATTTTGGGTTTTATGAAAGATAAAAGTCCTGTATATAAGCTTCTAAGAAAAGTTTACGAATACTGTGGCAAAAAGAATTTATGCGGGTTTAAATATAGGTCATTGATAGGATAATGACATAGTCCTAAATGATATGTACTTATTAGAAGTTCTGTCAACAATGATAATAAACATTCCTGCATGCAAATGTTCTGTCATAGCTTTACAGGTTTTTTTGTACTGTGAAAACAACACAGAATCCTTTAAAGTAGTTTTTGCGATTCAAGATTTAGACTGTATTTGCCAACATCTTCTACCTGCCTTTTCACAACAGCATTTATATTTACTGTTTCCAATGATGCATTTTTTTCCTCTCCTCCAACTATCTCACAATTTAGCATTCAGATACTCAACCAGATGAAAAACCAGACCACATTGCCAAGAAACACACATAGAATCCAAAATTCTCCATACCACTTTATCAGTGCTTTAAACCTTTTATAGTACTACAACATCTAACACGTAAAATTTACAGTAATACATGCCTATGCATGACCTTAAACCCCCTCTTTAGTTGATCACTATGGCTACTGATCCCGACACCCACCTGGGCAATTTTCATCAAGACCCCCATCAAATCCTCACATGACGGTATCTCAAGAACTATCGCATACCATCCTCTTATTTACTACTACCAAGTTTCTATTTGAGATCAGCTAGATAAAGCCAAAGGTAACTGAAATTTAAAAACAAACAAAAACCCCGCAACTGACTGTCTTTTAAGCTTGTTAGTTAGCAGTCTTGCTCAACACGCTTTGTCAAATTAACCATCTTTAATATGGCTAGGCTATTTGTAACCATAAAAGAGCACATGGGGGTCTTAAAATCTTTATAAATCATGAGAAACGTTGATAAAAAGCTATATGCATAATATTTTTAAATTTAAAAACAGTACAATAAATTGGAACATTTTACTTTGTTGAGTCAAACAAGAAAGGTTAAAAACTAAGCCTAAATTGAAACTATTTCATGCACTTAAATTTTCTAAAGTCTGCAAGAACGCACATCACATACATAACAGAGCCAAAACAACATGCTTAATGAAACACTAATACAGATAGCAGTTTGCACAATTACATGCAGGTAACTTGAAAGCCATGCCATAACCCAGCCTTAAAAAATTAAACGCTTGTCTAGTCCCATCATGCCCAGGTATTGCATAACATAGGATAGTTAACAATGGAAGGTTTAAGAACTTTGACTGCGTTGTACTGTTCCTTATGCTGTGTCATACTACTAAAAATTACTGCATTAATTACAGACCATATTATTCTTAAAATCAAGAGCTACACTGACCGCATTTCATAGAAGGGCATGCTGCGAAGCTAAAAACCAGCTGATTTAGAGCATATGAAGTTCTAGGGCATAACATCAATACATTTACAAAAAAAAAATACAGTGCTGAGCAACTGAAATCTGCACTTTGCTCATTTCTTGCAGGATATTTAAAATTAACTTGACAGTCATTAAGTAAAATAACTTTACTTGTCCCAGTTCAATCCCTAGTGGACAAAACATGCACTACAGAGCCTCTTAATTTCACTTAACCAGATAGCTAGCCTTTTAAGAGACACTGTTAAGACAACACAGGATATATTTTAAAACCATTTTCACTGTCAACGAGGAAATATCTTGCATGCCATTTGTTACACTCCTGCTGCCAGTAACAAACCTTCTATCAGACCCAAACAACAAAATACTCTTTATAAAATTTCAAAAGGGCAAGTAGGAAGAGTACCAAACCAACCCAGTTTTTTTCTTTAATCTGTTTTTTGACGCTCCTCACAATGAGATTTCTTTACATGCTCAGATATAATAGTAATTTCTCAACATTTGAAAAAATACTGTTACACCATTATATTCAGACAAGCCCGTGCTCTTAGATTTGTATTACTCACCTCAAAATCACATACTTCCAGCAATTAATAATACGCATGCAAATTTTTCAGTACTTATCACCATTTTCAACTGTTTTATGTACTTTTAATATTTAAAGTTTCTGTGTAGTAAGAAATTATCACCTTACCTGAAACATAATCATTTTAACTCTAACACAAATCTTAATCCTTCCACATGCAACCATATTTATTACAGCGAAACGAAAGTGATCTGCAATCTACAGGGACTTGCTACAACAAACGTGCAGGTCATTATTTTTAAATAAAGAAGACATCTTACCTTGCCTGTCTTGTGATCAAACCACACAAGAGCATGGTTCCTGGACAGCACCTTACAGTCAAAAGTTGCGTTGTTCTGAGCTGGCCGGCAGCGAGCCACTGAGCGGCCAATCTTGACGGGCTCGTCCAGGTAGACATGACGCTCCTGAAACGGATGAGAGTTCGGGCGGCAAGTGAAGATGGCCAAGGCTGAAGGCATCGAGGACAGATTGGGGTTGCCACACCAACCAGAGATGAAGAGAGCCTCTTCGGATGCAGACTGTCCTCCACAATTTTTAACCCAAACCTCCACAGCAACTTTATATTAAAGCAGGACAAACATTATCATATGAGAGGCCTAACAACTCATTGTTTCAGTGTGTAAACTAATTCTGGCAATAATCCAGTGAAAAAGCCCCATTATGTCTTTTAATACTATCAGCAGTGGCCCAAAAAAAGTCTAAAATGTACAACTTTCAATCCATCCTCCTCTGGAAGAATAGGAACAAGCATCTGATTCCTTCAAAGAGAAGCAAAGGCTCCTTGAAAGAAGGATAGAATGTCTTAAATCCAAGTAGATGAGTCATACGAGTACTTTTGTTTGTAACCTCAACTGCCTTCTTTCCCCCCCCCCTTCCGTAAACAACACTGACCAAAATTCTGACCAATGCAACATGGAAGCAAGGAAAGGTTTAGGGAAGGGGGATGAGGGAGGAGGGTTAGTGTCCTCTCTCAAAGCACACAGATCAGGAGTTGGAAGGTGAATAGGAAGCCCTCACTCCGCAACAGGGATCTAGTCGCTTCACACAGCAATCCGCATTTCACCATCTTCACGTATTAAACCAAAGCAGGATAAGGTGGTCCTCGATTTAGGCTGGGGTGTGAGAGCTATGCTGTCTTCCTCCCCTACACCAGATAAAGCTGAACGGGTCTACAGGTTCAAGCAGCCGCTCAGATAAGAACTTGATAAGGCATGGAGAGGGCTTCAAACTCTCCTTCCCTGGGGGGGGGGGACGGGGG